AAGGAAGATTATCGAGAGTTAAGCAATTGATTGCATACAGCGAATAGTAAGTTTTATAGTAAATTTTGCGAGTTGAAAAAAATATTTTTGAAAATTCATAAACACTCGATCGATAAAACAGATCGATATAAGAAGAAAGGATGGCACTATCGTAAAAAAAAAAATTAAGGATTGGATATAGTTTTTAAGGCTTACCTCGTTATCCAATTCTTTTCGAGTTCGGATTTTGATCACAGGAAGTTGATTCTAAAAATATAAAAATATTTGATAAAATAATGACAATAAGTATATAGAAATTCTTAATATTATCGCTTGCGTCAATACCCTAAGATTATGTATATATATGAAAGCATTTGACTTTAAAAAAATATTATCTTAAAAAATTAGTGATTAACATTTACATTGAGTTATTTTAGAAATAGTATTATTTAACAATAAAACGTATCTAGCATATAATATATTAAATATAATGAAATAGTATAACTGAACATAAAATTATATCTTTTAGCGTGTAAATTAAGTTAAAAAAATCATTTTTAAGCACATGTACAAGATGGGGGGGACGTTTTTTTCTCGAATAATATAAATAGAAGTTACTTACATGTTGCGAATTCGATGCCCTTATTAAAATGGAATTAAGAACAAACGGAACACCATCAAGATCTGATGAACCTGGTAATGTACCGTACGTTGGTATAGAATTAACCACAGACGATTTATTAGATGGTAGGTTTGGTGCTGGTCGGGTTGGCTTTATTTGTGCAGTTGGACTCAAGACTTCGTAATCTTGACTGTTTTCCTCCACTGCCGATTTCCCAGCATTCACCGGACTTATTTGCGAATATAAACCATTTGTTAAGAACTTTGATTTGGGTGGTCTTTCAGGAGCCGGTCTACGTGGTGTCCCATTCGACAAGGTCGGTGAAGAAGTTTGAAATAATCTATTGCAAAGAAATTTTATAAACAGCATTATTGATTTAGAAAAATTTACAATCATGAGTATATAATGATTTTCATTTCCTTAAACACCTACTCTATATTAGCATATGACTGAGCAGTTAAGGAACCTTTTAACAACGGCACTGTTTTATAACAAATGTAAACTCCATTTATGACACTGAAATGAAAGATAAAAAATAAAGTTTTTTTATTATAGATGGTAAGTATAGATTTGTGTGTATGAAATTATGGTGATACAAATCTTTGTAAATAAATGTTGTCAAATTGTAGTTTACCCAGCATAAGTAAATTCATTCGGTGCGATTTTCGAGCCTTTCCCAATCCTATTACATATAATTATGTCCGTTACTGCACACGTGCATAAGTTTTTATTCCTAATTTTATAACACACTTGACGTTTGCGCCACGCTTTTTGCACTGTAACAAGTAACCATGTATTAATTACAATTATTTGTCGATAATAATAGAATTGCATCGAGAGTTCTCATGATAGGAGAAAGTAAATTTACTTGAATCAACGGTATGGGATATTATACTGAATCCTTCAGGAGGAGGCTCTCTTTCATCGATGATGCAAATTTTTTCAATTACTGAGTGCGGTAGTCCTTCAGTTTTTGAAAAACAGATGTATCTGGATTTTTTCTTAATAAATAATCCACTGTCACGCCACAGATCCGCATCGGAATCTAAATCATAAGTTCTCGATACCTACATTAAAAGTTTGATGAAAATGTTAGAATTTTATTAATATCACCAATAAAATAATGGAAAAGTATAATATCACTTTAGCGAATTAATTAATATCTTCAATTATTTCGGCTTATGCAAAGTTAAAACTATTCCAAAAGTTGAGATAATTTTTTCTATATATAATTGGCATTATGGTATTGGATAGATCAACTTTTGAAATTATTATTATACAAGTAGGATGAATAATCCTTTCAATTTCACAATTTCAATATTACACTCGTATATTAAACGTTATTATTACTTACAACAGTGAAATTTGGTGGGCATTTATCTAAATCCTCTATGATATTTATTGCAGTGATAGGTCGATCGTCTGGTAAAACCGATGATAATTGGTGAACCAGCATTTTATTACCATCCCTCTTCGACATGATATTAACTGAAAAGAGGCAAAAATTTAAGGTATTTCAAATAAAAATCAACAGCTAATAGATATGTTAGTATCCATTAAATTGAAACTATAAATAATGAATTGAAATATCAATCGTGTATTAGTTTGACAAAGCAAAAAATCTATATAGAGCATTTATAAGAAGTTTGGATGTTTGTTTAAATTTTTTTTGGTTGATGCTCAAAGCATCAGCAAAGTCATCGGCAAATCAAACAGCCACGCTTAATATATGACAGAATACTAAATCGTCATATTAAAATTCGTATGAAATCCATAAAATAAATGAACTTTTGAGCTTTAATAAATGTTAAACGTTATATGCAAATGTAGGAAAATGTTTTGCTAACCATTGAGTAATAGAGCTCTTCCTAACATCGAGCAACAACAGTTGTTACTCAATAAAATACTTCTCACTAAAATTTTTAAATAATCTTATAACTAAACACGACTTGTTATTGTTACGCGTATTCAGCTCATTGACGCACATCTTGGCAAAAAATAATCTTTCTCGTTGGTAAAAATGAAAATGGTCATCTATATTAAACAGACCGTGAATAAACGAAATTCCACGCAGTATTATTACATCGCGTCCGATCGTAAAATATTAAAGCTCAAATGCGACAACCGTCATGACGCAATTGCGACGGATAACAGTATGGCTGAACCGGCTTCGTTGTACCAATCACTCCCAATCAATACCAATCTAACATACAATAATGCACCTGTCGTGTGTGCGTGAGCGCGCGTGTACGTGCATTCGCGAGTAATCGGTCTGCTCGGGAACGCAACGATACGTTTTGCAAGGAAACGGAAAATTTATGGTAAGCGACGCGACAGCTTCGTAATAAAAATAAATACGTCAGGAATTCCGGATTCTCGTCTTCGAGATTTCAGTCGGATAACCATCGGTCTTGTTAAGCAAGAGGATTAAGACTTATTCTTAAAAGCAGCTCACGTCATCCAAGGCAATTAGTCCTCTATAACGAAACGAGTGCCTCGGCCCGGGATATTCCCGAGAGGAATATTACGAAACAGCTAACTCCCCGGCGAAGATAAACCGTCATAAAAAAAGACGTAGCTAGACCAAAGTTAATCACCCGCGTTTGGGTCGCGACACGCAACACACGCGCGAGTCTGTCCTCTGCTGCCCCACGAAAGAGGCGAGAAATAATGCGAGTCGCCTTCCCCCTCCCGGCGGCCAATTTTGTGGATCGCCACTCGCCACTGTAGGTACATTGGCGACGTATTGCTCTCGATGGCAAAGGACAAGGAACTACCGGGGGTATGGGGGGAGGGATAGGAGCGACTTCTTCGCGACGATAAATCCCCCGAACGACGTTCGCCTGCCTATTTCCGCGAATCCTTTGGATCCTCCCGTCCCGTGCACTGTGCCACTCGCGCGTACTCGTATTCGTGCGTGTGGTCGGGACCGCCGTTTACGCTCTTCGTCTCGCCGTCGCGGCGAAACCCATGCAACAATAAGAAGAAGCGAGATGAAGAATCCCATGGCGGCGTCTGGGCGGACTCGCGCACGTCGTCGACCTCGCACGCAACTCCCACGAACCGCTGCTCGTTCAATGCCCCCACCCCCACAATCAATCTTCAATTTGCCCGTCGCGCGGGGCTTTTCGTTTTGAGGCGCGAGGAGACAACGGAACGGAAGACGACGTACTGAGGTGATGGGATAGCGGGCGGGAAAGGGGCGGGGAAGGGGCGGTGAGACGGAAGGACGGGAGGGGGAGACAACAAGTACGTACGTAGCGCTGTGGTGCCCCGATGACGACTTTGGGCGGATACATATCGCCGTCGGGAGACGAAGCAAAATTAGACCGACTACTATTAATAAACGATAAGTGTTTTTGACGACCAGACCGAGGCGCAGTCAGTCGGTACGCGTGCCGAGAAACCAAAATCGCCAACAAATTTGCCTGCCTGTATGCCTACCTCGGAAATAATCGGCTGTACAGGAAGGCGCTGCTGCTGCTGCTGCTGCTGCTGCTGCTGCTGCTGCTGCTGCTGCTGTCAGGCGCTATTCGTTGCTCCCAACATTCGCCTTGTTTATTCACACTCGCGCTAACTGCAACAATAACAACAATGACGATGACAACAACAACGACAACGACGAGGGTAACGGCGACGAAAGCGGCGACGGCAACGACGACGACGACGACGACGACGACGGCGGCGATGACGACGACGACGACGACGGCGACGACGACGACGACGACGACGACGACGACGACGACGACGACGACGACGACGACGACGACGACGACGACGACGACGACGACGACGACGACGACGACGACGACGACGACGACGACGACGACGACGACGACGACGACGACGACGACGACGACGACGACGACGACGACGACGACGACGACGACGACGACGACGACGACGACGACGACGACGACGACGACGACGACGGCATTCCACGGCCTGGACCGTGCGAGGAAAAGCAAACTTTCTTGGTTAGAGCGCTATACACGAACAACTCGTCATCGTATCACGGCGAACCTTTCAGTACTACTGCTGCGTCGCGTGAGAGCTGAGAAGTGAGAGAAGCGAGTGAGTGAGAAAGTGGGAGAGCTAAAGAAAGAGAAGAAGAAAGAGAAATGGATAGCTCGAGCAGTTCGCTCTCTCCCGCTCTCTAATTCACCCACCACCACCACCCCCCACCGCTCTCGCTCTCTCGAATGGGCGCAAACTCGAAGAAGTGGTTGTGATGCTTTTCCACTATAAAGTGCACAGCGAAGACACCGATAGCGATAAGAGTTGGTCGGATGATTGAGCGAGCATATCTCTATTCAGAAATTTTCCTTGCCATTGTGCGCAAGGTTCGCACATTGGATTGGAAGGCTATAAGTTAAGTCTCTCGAAGCCTCGTACCTTAGCCATCCCACAAAACCTTGCCCCACCCCCTTGAACATCCTCGAATGCAGCACTTTTTTTTTCTTTCCTCCTCTTATTTGACTCTATGAATCCAGTTTAGAACGTCTGCCCATGGCTGTAGCCGCGATCGAAAATGACTGGTGAAAAGTGTATAGGAATTACTGTTCTAGGCAAGTCGACGGATTTGCGATATCTATATCTTTCCAGCTGGTATAGCTTCGAGCATAGCTTTTATTTAAATTACAATAAAGTAATAAAGTATTTAATAAAAGCCCACAATGTACGTCACAAAAGTATAAATTTGAGGATAAATCGATGTTTAGGTATGGGAATCGATGGAATTTAGGTATGTGATGCGCGATGATCTGTTCCCTCGACTTCCATGCTCGAGTCATCAATTCTTGAAAAATGACGGTTACGTACGTACGTGCGTGCGTGCTTAATGGACTTTTCTTTTATATAGGCAAGCAAAATTTTAAATTGAAATACAATTTACTTGTAAAATTATTTATGACGCATGCGTTCGCAATAATAAACCAATGTCCTTAAAAAACAACGCGGAATTTACGGCGCATGAAAGCAGCAGGAGTGAGTCAAATTTAATCACTTGCTATTAATGCTGTATTCTCCATAATATAATAATACCTTAATGCCAAGACCCGTGGCAAATCCAGATTTTAGAATCATTAGGAGACGGTGAACGATGATAAGATAGGGAACAATTGTGAGATACTTGCCATTGTCAAAAACTCATTCCTTTAATTACGTCCGCTCGCACTGGGAAAATTCACGTCACTACGGGGGATACAGCAAGTAAGTTGGATGGCTTACGAGGATAAGGCGTTATTCGCAGAATGGAAAAACAAAAAACTGCCTATCAGCGTCATGAGCTTTGGCCGTATGAGCATAAAGAATTTTATAGGCGCGTATGTTGAAAATTTAGTTTACGAAACTTATGGAACGATCGGCGAGGAAAAATTGTCGGCCGTTTCTCGCGCCGAGAGCAATAAAAGCGCCCAATTGTAAAACTTGTGGAAATTATCGTTAACGCTTTTAATTGAAAAGCGCCTTCGATACTATAAACTATAAATGACCATTCGCATTATTAATAATACTCATTTGCTCATTATGCAACAAATTTATTGATAAATTTATTTGACCAAATTCGCGCTTCGATTGTAGATAAACGTAAGTTCAATTTCAGATTGAATAGACGCGTACGAGATGCAGTGGATGATCTTAAGAGACAATTGACAAGGAACAAGTGACAATGACTCTATAAACAATATGACGCTATAACTATTATTTGAAAATACGATCTATTTTTAAATTTTATGCCGCTCGTTAGTCATATCGCGCACTCGCTGTTTAGCAACGGAATGCATTATCTGACCTATTAATGTATGAATCACATTTTTAATTATTAAGCAGTGCAATTAATGCTCTTCTACACTCGACAATTGAAATAAACAAACATTGCAAATACAGTCGCCACACTCAACTCACGATGGAGTAATTGATAAAATTAATAATTATTAAACACGAGCTTATGATAATTATGAGTTAATGGGTAGTGCAACGTAGCGAAATATAATGCGCCAACGGTAATAATTCTTGAAATGACATCATGTCACGCGTTTACCGCCCCTATTATCGTCCACAGTTTTTTCAACGAATTTCACGGTAATTTTCTCATCGTGTACCATCAACAATTTACAAGATAATCGATTTAATAACAAAATGGAAACGAAAAACAAAAAAAAAAAAAATAATAATTATCTGGTATAGATGAATTTAAAGCAGGTAATTCGTATTACGTTAAGCATATTAAAAGACGAATTACAACAATTTATGGAATATATTTGAAGACAAAAATAAATCGACTCCTCTTTCTAGGTTTTCCAAATCCATATTGAAAAGTACATGTGCAATTTTTTATTATCCTCTTACTTTTATACGACGAGACAATTCCAAATGACTGCTTACTATTTTCACGTATAAATGTAACATATCTTAATCTTCTTTTTCTTTTTATTTTTAATTTTTTTATTATTTTTTTTACTTTTTTTTTTTTTTTTTTTTTTTTTGGAATGTCATCAATTCTAAATGAAATGCGATATTACAATAACAATGTTTTAAAAATGCTCAAAGTGCAAATTTCAGTTTTCTTTTTACAAAGGACATATTTAGTTCTTTAGAATGGCTTCTAAAAACAGTTGAGATTTGAAAAACATTGGCTTATAAAAACTCGAGCTTAAAATAAGAATCGTTGTGTGTGTGTGTGTGTGTGTGTGTGTGTGTGTGCGCGCGCGCTCGTGTATATCAATTCTGTATTTGAATTCTTCATTGTTAATCTTCATTTTTCAAATGCTGTTGAATATTATTGCTAATTTATAAATGTATTTTACAATATTCTGAATACGCCTTCAACCAATCCAAATCTTAACAGTATTTACAATTTTTCTAAATTTTTATTAATTTAATTAATATAACAATGATTG